AATGACTAGTGAAAATGTTTAATAGTATTAGAATCTAAACCTCGCTCTTACCCCTCCTTAAATAATTTTAGTATTTTTTTTAAAAATACCAAAGCAGACGCCGGATAAGGAAAATGTTGAAAAATGTATTTATTCAAAATGTTTAAAGATCATATTTTTTTCCCATGTCAACTTTAATCTAATTTTCGAATACCTTATTTCATGATTTAGTGGTTACAGTTTCCTGCAATTTTGTATCCTCAAGTCTTGCCTGTTTCACATTGATTTTATTCATGATTTATTAATTTATCATATTTTTATTATTATTGTAATTAATGAAATCGATGCCATTATATTAGATAAACTAGCGTATAGCCCGGCCAAGGCCGGGTTCTAGAGTTCCAGTGGGGGGTGTGCCCAAAGCGAAAAATCCATCATACTATACTTTAAATAATTCGCAGTGAAGACTTTGTCATACTACATACATACATCAGAGTGAGGGTTTGCCCAAATCATACTGCATTTTAATTAACCTGGTCACAGTACAATTTAATTTCCCCCTGTGGGTGTAGTTGAATAGTTAATTACTTAAATTCCCGTCGCGTGGGAGTAACTGCATAGCTAACTATTTAAATTCCCACGCTTCACGCTCCCGTTAAGTTCCATAAACCCCGTTAACTTCTACAATTAACGCCAAGCTATTGACGGATTCGGATTCAGCATCAAAAATACATTCGAATTGATATGCGACATAACGAATAAGCCATATTTGGACACCACGGTCACGGCAAGGTCACGGGGGCCTCGGAGGTCAAAACCATTAATGGCGTTGGATTCAGCGTAAAAAATACATTCGAATTGATATGCCACTCGCTGTGGGTGGAGTTTCTCAAACTAAAATAATTAATTAATAGTGTTTATCAAGATCACTTATCATGATAACCACTATTGATGAGTGATGAATGTATGTATACTGCTCACTCACTCAATTTACTTGCACACTGCAAATATACAAAGACATATAATTTGAGATTGATGGCAAGCGTACGTGAAAGTCACGTGCAGGCGAAGTGAGACTCATGCAGAAAATTCATGCATGCAACCGTTGCTCCGCATCCTTCTTTGTCTCCTCTACGGGGCAATTTGCATTGAGAGCCACAGGGACCCAGGCAGAACTTAACACTAACGCTTTATGGAAGTAGATTAGGTTTATAAAATCAAGGTGATTTTATAAGTTTTTAAACCGAACCAGGGCTTATGGAATTGTCATGCCCGTCTGTCTGTCCGTCTGTCTTTCGATAACTCTCGAACGAGTTGTCCGATTGACTTCAAATTTTTACCATATGCATATTGGACAAAGTTTTGAAACGAGTTCGAAGATGGGCGAAATCGGTCCAGTGGTTGACCGGTGGGGGTCATCGGAGTGGGTGAGGTATTATGCACCAAAATTTCAAAATTTCAAAAATTTCAAAAGCTGAAATTTGGTACAGATGTTGTTAATGGCCCCTAATAGATAAAAATTACTTCAAGTTGGAAAAATTTTCCTCTTGAGGGACCATATGGGGTGACCCATACTGATTTTTCGAAATCGTCATATCGAGCTGAAATTTGGCAGAGAGGTTGCTTATGGCTCTTAATTGAAGAATATACGCAGGAATTAATAAAAATTTCATCTGGAAGGACCATATTGGGTGACCCCCACCGATTTTCAGAAATTAACATAGAAAGCTGAAATTTGGACCAGAAATCCTTACTGCTTTTTCATGAAATAATATGAAGTTAAATATGAACAAAAATTAATCAGAAGGGCTATCGAGACGACCTCCACTGGGAAGTAGACAAGGGGATGGGATGGTAAATATTTTTAGAATTTGGAACCTAGTCATATGAAGGATTGATGCAAGTGCAAAATAGTAGCACATAATTTTATAGAAAACTACTGATAAATATGGGTTTACAATCCCTGGTTCGGGCTGAGCAAAGCTGTACTGATAGGTTATTAGTAATTGTAACAAGATACAAACAACGATGCCAAATAAGAAAAATTCGGAAAAATGTATTCTGAAAAATATTCATTACTTATTCACTCATTCATAATTTGTAAAAATATTCATTAATTATTCACCATTTCTTCATTATTCATTTTACTCAAAATTCACAGAATTAGACGAATTTCTCAACTTTCCGTATGTATCAAGTATTGAGTAAAAAATGAATGATGAAAAAATATTTAGTCATTATTCATTCACACGAATTGAATAGATATTCAATCAATATTCATTTATTCAAAAATCAGAATAAAATATTCATTCAATATTCATTAAAATTTTGAAAATTGAATGAATACTTCATTCATCACTAAATGAATGAATGTGAACATGTGTGATCAAGGCTACATTCCAGCTTTAGTTGGTTATGATTGGAAGCATTTTCGAACACCTTTCGTGACCCAGAGGTCCCAGAACAGTAAAAACAATTTTCCTTTGTGCTCATATCAGTGTTTTAGGTGGTATTGTATGCGAGTTTTGAGTTTGAATTGCTGTGTCTTAGCTTTACCTTCTTCTATATGTTCAAATAGCTAGTTTAAAACTTATTCATCTCCGTGTGTTTTTTACAATTTGAAGATTTTAATGCACCAAAAGATCGATAATTTTTAGGGTTACAAGGTAACGAGGGTAGATTTTGGATTTTTTGCTTCCATGAGACAAGCCATTTCCATAAGAGGATTTCGCTTCGCTTCCCTTAATAACCATTAAGAAACAGTTACACTTCATGATCGCTAATGTCAATGAAAGTCTTCAGTCAAAAATCGTGATGGGTGACTTTTGAATGAAGAATACATTTTTGAACAGGTATGTTCAGGCATTGAACCAGTTTCTTTGCTGAACACATTTGAAGAATTATTTCGTATGCAATTTGATACTCATTATTTACAAAATATTTCTGAATAAATAAATCTAAATTTATTTTCTTACTTTTTAAAATTGAATTAACTAAAATTTTATTATGAGTTAGGGGACGAATAAAGTATTTTCCGAAAAAAATAATTACTCACAAACAATGACAGATACAAAAACCCTGTGATTGCCAAATATTATTTTAGATTGATTCTGTATGCAATTTTTTCATATTTACAAAGTGATATTTTTCTATAATAGATAGATCAATCAAAATTTATTAACTTTGCATATTTTGCAATGCAAGTCTTTTACGTGTACAACTCAGATCGAGTTGGGACCAATTTTATTTTGTTCACCAAAAAAATAAGCATACCCGTATTTTTTTCATTTTTCATAATGCGCTAATTTGAGCGCGAGGCGCGAATTTTATAACATTTTTCAGCCATAACTCGCTTTTTAAAGATTCTGTAAATTTTCGAATTTTAGCGCGACTCCAAAAATTCGAAAACATCTCTTCAGAATGACTAACCTGACTTATGAAAAATCCAATTGTCTCGAAATTTGAATTTCAAAAATTTTTGCCAGTTTTTGAAATTAATTTAAATTATAAACTCTTTCAAATTTTAAATTTTTCAAAAAATAATGCATTTGGATTTTGTAGAATTTCATTTTCATTAACTATCATAATCAATCAAATGAATGAAAGTGAACAGGTATGTTTACTATATCTAAGCGACGATTAATTTGTTACAGCTTTTAGCAATTGTTTTATTTCACTTGTCACTTGTATAATTATTTTTATTCTAGAAAAATTACCTAAAACTGTACCAATTAAGGTATAAAATGTGTTCGAAAACTGTTTTACCCTCGAAGTATTTTTCCTGAACGAATTTTTCAAAATTTTTGAATTCGTCGTTTACTCTCGCAAAAAAGGACTGAAGTTAATTAAATCTAAAAAATCAATGCGACTTAATAAATTTTGTTAATTTTCGAATACATTTTAGAATATAATTGTTTCCATTGTATGCAATTTTTTTATTCTTATTTTTGACAGGTTGATTTTCACGAAAAATGTATTAATTCAACTTATATTTTTTCTAGATTTAACTAATTAATTAAATTATTATTGATTGAGTTAACCGATAAATAAAGTGTTTTTGTACCTATTTCAAATCATTTCCGCCTAAATTGTATATTATAGTATTCTGATTCTAAATCTGAAAAATCAAAATTTTTATTAATTTTGACAATATACAAATAACGACGCCGAATAAGAAAAATTCTAAAAAATTTATTTATTAACCTCTTTAGGGCTAAGGGCTACTATAGTTGCATAGTTTTAAATCCCTGAGAGATGGCATGCTACTATTGTCGACTTTTAAAATTGTCCCATGGAGACTAAAGGCGACTTTTGTCTCTAAATTAAAACATCCCCGTGAGACGACGGTCTAGTCGATTCCTCAAAAAATGTCCTGGAGACGACGATCGACTTTTGTTGCATCACCATATTTTCAATCGCAAATTGAAAATAATATTTTTTTTCCTGCTTCTTACTTTGTTTTGGCGAAAATTTCAAACATATTGTTAGGACACAATTTCATCTTTAATCAGCGACCCAATTTAATGAATGTATAACCCATATTTGGACGCAAGTTGAATGTGAAACACACATAATAATATCGTCGTGTAATGGTTGCGTGAGGGAGAGCTCTCCAGCTCTCCAGTTATAACATGAGTTATTTAAGACGAGATGGTTTTGTGCTGAGGCAGCATTTTTAGTTATCTTTAAATGACCACCACTAGTACCTAAGTAGTGTGCATAATTAAATAACAGTGCTTCATTCAATGAGTGCTTAATTAAATGTCTTAATCTTAAAGTCCATTGAATTGTGTACAATCGTTTTGCCAAATTGGCACTTTAGGTTAATCATCATTTTTAGACTTACCCATCCTGTGTGGACAGGAATAGTTTAGTCGTTCTGTGGAGCGTGTGTGTGTGAGATCCTTTCAAATAAACCTTGATCAACCCCAAAACTTAAGAGGCAGTTTGCGACACTTTATTTTGCACAATGAGATAATGCTGCAAATGTATTTGAATATTTTAAATGTATTATTCTGATCATGCATAGCAAGCATTATATTTTACAGCAAGAGTCCCCAATCTCAAGAATTCGGCGACGCACAACATCGCGGTCACAAGTCGTCCCAACTCCAGTGGTTATCCATTCCACGATAAATTCGACGTGGGGAGATGGAACCAATTTCCACCCTAGACCAACGCAGTTTGTGCCCCCACTAGGAAGGTTTCATCGATCATTCAATGCTGACTCAGATTCTACACCATTTCAACTGCTTCGAATGTTTATCGACGACGACATGGTGGATACAATTTGTCTCGAATCGAACGATTATACGCCCGTCATCAAAGCCAAATTCCCAAAAGCATTGAAGAGGTGGACACCACTAAGCCGTCAGGAGTTTTGGAAATTCATGGGTCTATCAACACTGATGGGAATTGTGAAAAAAGGAGATGTGAAGGATTATTGGAGCACGGATGAACTAATATCAACCCCAATTTTTGGTAAAACCATGAGCAGAGATCGGTTAGTAGATGCATACATTTTATGCATACGTGGTGTCAGACAATGATAATTATTGCATTTGATAATTTTAGTTTCACAGATATAATGAGGGCACTTCACTTCCAAAACGATGGAAATATACCCACGGGAAATATTGATCGATTTATCAAGCTCGGCTCGTTCTTCCCATCGTTGATGTCGAAGTTCAAAAATTTTGTGATTCCGGGGGAATATCTCTACATAGATGAGAGTTTGATGCCGTTCAAGGGACGACTGAGTTTCAAACAGTACGTACCCTCCAAGAGGGCAAGATTCGGCGTCAAGTTCTACATCTTGGTGGATTGTGCAACAAAGGCAGTCCTAGCTCTGCTTCCATATCAGGGCAAAAAAACAATATTTGCTGCACCGAAGGATATCTTTGGAGTAGGTGGTGCTGTAGTGCTCACTTTGCTGCAGGATGGATATCTTAATAAATCCCACCGTGTTGTGGCTGACAATTGGTTTTCCACTCCCAAGCTAGTTGCAGAATTGTCGAAAAATGATACATATTACCTTGGGACTGTTCAGAAAAGGCGATGTGAAGATGCAAAGAAACAGATGCGAACGAAACTTAGGAAAGGAAATGTTGAGAGCTGGACTAACGGTGATATTCTTATTGAACGGTAATACAAACCTCCGTAAAGATTTATTTTTTATTTCTAATAAAGAAAAATTAGTAATAAAATAATTATATTTCTAGGTGGGAAGACAGACGAGAGGTTTGTATGATAAATTCATTCATGGGACATGCAATGACTGAGAAGCTTTCAACTAATCCATTCAACACACGGAATAAACCTAACACCGTTCTGCTCTACAATTCGAAAATGGGAGGAGTTGACGACGTGGACAAGGTGACGAAGCCGAACAAGTCCATTAGGAAGACCATTAAGTGGTACAAAAAAGTGTTCTTCCATCTCTGGGACCATCCGGTGTATAATAGTTTCAGAGCGTACAAAATTATTCACCCAAATTCCAAGCGAAGATACAAGTAATTTGTGGAGTCACTCGTAAAAGAAATTCTTCAACAGTTCCCAACTGATCCGTCTCATGTCGGACGACCCCTTTTACGCCTCTCCGAAGAGTTAAGACTTCAGGGTTCACACTTTTCGGAACAAACTCTAAACGGTTCCCGGAAAATGTGCGTATTGTGCTGCTGAATGTGTTCAGAAGACAACGTCGTATCGTTGTCAAACATGTGAAAATTGGCTGTGTGTTACAGGAAAGCTTTCTTGCTTCAAAAAATATCACACTGAACGACATCTTCCAAAGAAAAATTCACAAGCACGGGCTGATCCTCTATTGCCCTCCCTTCCGCCATACGAATTAGATACACCCGATTTTCTAACGTTGCATGATGTTGATTTGAATTCGTCTCAATTTCGCGTTAATCAAAATAATTAGATGTTTGCAATATTTGTTCATTTGTTTGCTGATTTGTGTTTGAAACAAAATTGTTAGTCAATTTGCGAGGAAAAAGGAAACTGAATAATTATAGAAATATTTAAACTCTTTAAGATTTTGCTCATTCATCACCACTGCATACATAAAAACACTGCATTTATGTTAATGTATTTTTTTTAAAAAAAAACGTCGTCTCTTAGGACTTTATCATATTTTTAATTATGCCCCTCAAAATTATCAGCAATTATCACTGGCGCCCCGTAGTAACGCCAATGAATAGCTTCGCAGTCTCTGGGAAACGTTAGGGACAATAAATGTAGCCCTAAAGAGGTTAAAAGAAAGAACTGGCTACATACATATCTGCATTTATTTGAGGCATATTTTAAAACAATTTTCGAACACCACATTTTATGAATTAGTGGTTACAGCTTTATACCAATTTTTAGCCTCGTTTAATTTATTTCTAACATTGATTTTAATCAAATTTTTTTTTTAATTTATTTTTAAAACAATTTAAAAATCAAAAATTTATTAATTTATCTTTATTCATTTTTTGATGTAATCAATTAAATTGAATCATTAATTAATAATCTAACTGACGAATAAAGTATTACACAGATTTATTTACAAAATCATAATTTCACTAATACGAATTACGAAGTTTAATTTTTCTCAGAAAAATTCATCAAAATTTATTCATTTATCTTGAATTTTGGTAACATTTAATTAATTTAGGTATTTTTACGAGAGCAGACGCCGCATAAGAAAAATTGGGAAAAGTTAATTTAATAAAACAATAACAGATATACGAAGCTCCTTGTTATGTTTTCTTGTCATACTTCAAAATGATTTTCGATTGCATTATTCTCATACCTGTTCACTTTCATTCATTTGACTGACTATGATGGTGAATAATTTTGAATGAAAATTAATTTTCTGCTATTTGAGTGAAAATGAATGAAGGATTCAGTCATGTCAGATGATTGACTGTGAATGAAGGGATTTCTCACTCATTTCATTTTTCACCCTATGCTTATACATGGGGCGAACTAAGAAATGAAGTCGGATGAAGTAAAATGAAATGAATTTGAACGAAAATGACTGAATGTGAATGAAAATCGTCAGTCAGAAATCGGGATGACTGACTTTTGAGTGAAAACTAAATTTTTGAACGGGTATGATTATTCCATGATTTATTTGTTACAGTTTTATGCAATTTTTTATCCTCTAGTCATGTCTGTTTCACATTGATTCTACACTCAATTTATTAATTTAGGATATTTTTCTAGATTTAATTAAATCGAATTCTTATTGAACGAGGAATAAAGTATTTTAAAAATAATAATAAGCCGCATACAATCATAGATTCTAAAAAAGTCATCAATTACTTCAACTCCATGTCCCAGCACTTGTTTCAAATTGTTTTACAATTACACATTTTACAATTTATTTCGCGTACAATTTTGTCCTCACGCATTTCTACTAACAATGCGATGGTGTGAAGTGTAACCCTCAGATTTCGAAATTAAGTGGTCCATGTCAATACACCCAACGTTTCTTCAGGCAGTCTGTGTGATGGTCAGAATTTGGCAAAATATTTGAGGTCAAAGCTGAAAAACGGGCGATTTTTACCAGGCGGAAGAGACTAACTCAACTTCCATTCTCTTCCAGTGCTAAAAATTGCGCTTTTTTCAACTTTAACCTCAAATATTTTTCCAAATTCCAACCATCGCACAAACTCACTGAAGAAACGCTGGTTGTATTGACATGGACCACATAATTTCGAAATTTCAACCAAATCGAAGGGTTACACGTCACACCATTGCATTGTAAGTTCAATTTTTTTTGATATATTCATCATAGTTTATTTATTTATCTTGAATTTTATTAAGGTTTAATTAAGTTAAGTATTTTTGCGACAGCGGACGCCGAATAAGTAAAATTTTGAAAAAATTATTTATTAAAATTATGTCAAGATTGGTAGCGTTTTTTGAGCTCATGGACCTTGAAAATAATTGTCGAATACATTATTCCAGAATTTAGTGTTTACAGTTGCATGCAATTTCTTGTTCTCATTTCATTTCTTCTTTAGTACATACATTTATTATGTACACACTTAAATATTATTTAAATTTCGGGCTACTAGTTAAGGGAAATTTCTGTGAACATTTTCATACTTCAAAACTATTTTCGAACTAATTCGAAAAACTGTAACAATTCAGTTTTCTTGTAATTTTTTATCCTCATCACGCCTGTTTACCTTCATTCATTTGACTGGTTATGATAGTGAATGAAAATGAATTTCCTGTGACTTGAATGAAAATGACTGAAAAATACCATCATTTCAGATGAATGATTATGAATGAAAGGATTTCTCACTCATTTCATTTTTCACCCTATGCTTAATAAATGGGGCGAATTAAGAAATGAAGTCCGATCAAGTGAAATGAATTTGAACGAAAATGACTGAATGGGAATGAAAATCTTCAGTCGGAAATCGGGATGACTGACGTTTGAATGAATTTCAAATTCTTGGACAGTTATGATCCTCATGTCATGTATTTCTCAAATTGATTAATCAAAATTTGTTCCTTCGCCTTCATTTGTTTTGATTGATTTAATTAAGTTTAACATTTTTACGAGAGTAAAGTAGCAGATAAAAAAATTTTGAGTTTATTCAGCAAACTAAGTTAAAGATTAGATTACAGAATCTCTGTAGGCATTTTCATACTTCTGAACAATTTCCGAGCGAAAAAATAAATAAAAATTAATTTAAGTATGTTTACGAGAGCAGACGCCGAATAAGTAAAATGTTGAAAAATTTGGTTATTAAAATATTTAAAGGTGATCGATTTCGTTTTGCTCATCATACTTAGTGATCTCAACGGTTCTCGGTTCTCATAGAACCGAACCGGAACCGATGGCTCGGTTCGGTTCCGGTTTATACGGAGAACCGAACCGAAACTTTTATTACCGGTTCGGTTCCGGTTCCAAGTCTTAGAGAACCGAACCGAACCGGCCGGTTCGGGTTGAACCCAACTACATACATAAATACATTAGCGAAGTTGATCATATTTCCGAAAAAGTTTTACGAATTTCCCGAAATACACCTAGTTTCCAAAATGAAATTTTGACGTGGCCGTACCTCCAAAGTTCCCAAAATGAAATTTTGACATGGCCACACCCCCCAAGTTACCCAAAACGAAATTTTGACCTGGTTACAGTTACATCCACAATGTTTGCAAAACCAAATTTGGACTTGATGACACCTCCAAAGTTTCCAAAATGAAATTTTCACCCCCAAAGTTTCCTAAACGAAATTTTTACCCCCAAAAGTTTCCGAAATGAAATTTTGACGTGACTGCACCCCAAACTTTCCAAAATGAAATTTTGACTTGGTTACACCCCCCATGTTTCCAAAATGAAATCTTTACTTGGTCACACCCCAAAGTTTCAAAAATGAAATTTTGACTTGGTTACACCCCCAATGTTTCCAAAATGAAATTTTTACTTGGTCACACCCCAAATGTTTCAAAAATGGAATTTTGACTTGGTTACACCCCCAATGTTTCCAAAATGAAATTTTTACTTGGTCACACCCCAAAGTTTCCAAAATGGAATTTTGACTTGGTTGCACCCCAAACTTGGAATTGTTTTCTAACTTCAATAATACATACATAAGTGGTTTTGCTGTTGACATGTGTTAGAATTTGCTTGTTTAAATACAGATAAGTTATTGGCTTGCATGTGAAATTTCATCAGAAACACGTGAATTAGCATTGTTTGTTGTTTATTGCATATTAATAACACTACCGGTTTGACCCGAACCGCCGGTTCGGTCACGGTTTGGTCCGGTTCCGGTTCGGTTCCAGCTAAAAAAAGTTCGGTTCTGTTTCGGTTCTTCAATTCTGGTTCTCGGTTCCAAACCGGTTCTTCCAAGAACCGAACCGAACCGCACCGTTGAGACCACTAATCATACTTCAAACCAATTTCCGAACACATTCAATTCCATGATTTAGTATGGTTTCAGTTTTATCATTTCATTTCTTCCTCACATTGCTTTTAATCACAATTTATTAATCTATTTTTTTCAAGAATTAATTAATTAAATTTAATAAAGTATTTTAATAATAATAATCAGTCGCATAAAATAATAGAAATCAAATTAATTCTGACTGAATGAGTCAACTGACGAATAAAGTATTTTAAAAATAATAATAATTCATATCAAATGATAGATGCGTAAAAAGCCAGTAATTGTTTTAAATCGCTTCCGAACACGCGTTAATCTATTTCGTATACAATTTTGTCCACATACAAAGTTCAATTTTTCTTCGGATAAATTCATCAAAATTCATTAATAAATTCAAATTGATTTTTCTGATTTATCAATTTAAATAGGTTTACCAGGTGAACGCCGAATGAAAAAATTAGGAAAATTTCATTGATTAAAAATAGTTCAAGACTCTAGACCCCCCTTTGAGATTATACTTCAAAATAATTTTCGAGCACTAACTAGCTCGAGTTTTAAAGGAGATTTCAAAGATATTTTTGACCTCGTGAATGACCTGAGGTCAGAGGTCAAAGGTCAAAAATACATAATTGTAATGTATGCATACCTGTTGAAAAAAACTTTTTTCATTTAAAGATCAGTCATCCCGATTTCTGACTGAAGATTTTCATTCACATTTAGTCA